TTCTTTCTTTCTTTCTTTCTTTCTTTCTTTCTTTCTTTCTTTCTTTCTTTCTTTCTTTCTTTCTTTCTTTCTTTCTTTCTTTCTTGTTCCTTGGAGATAAGAGCTTCAAGGAATTTCCTTCCCAGGCTGAACTTCCAACCATGATCCTCAGATCCCAGCTTCCTGAGTAGCCAGGATTTCAGGCATGAGCCACCCTGGTGTCCACCTCTTAGCAGTTTGTTTTTTTTTACTTTCCATTTTCCTTCTGTAGTCTCTGCACCTGAGCTGGTTGGCATGCAGCACCTTCTGCTGCTGTTGAGGTCTGGGCAGATTTCTGTTACAGGGGCACCTGGAATTCAGGGATGAGGGTTTCACCTCACCAATGGCAAGCGCTACAAATCCATGTTCCTTTCTTGATTTTTACCCGCCCCCCCTTTTGGTCCTGGGGCTTAAACTCAGGGCCTGGGTAATAGGCCTGGGTAATAACCCTTAGCTTTTGTGCTCAGGGCTAATGCTGTACCACTTGAGCCACTTCTGGCTTTGTGTGTGTGTGTGTGTGTGTGTGTGTGTGTGTGTGTGTGTGTGGTTAAATGGAGATAAGGATCTCACAGACTTTCCTACTCCGGCTGGCTTCTAACCGTGATTCTTAGATCTCAGCCTCCTGAGTAGCTAGGATTATAGGTGTGAGCCACCCAGCACTGGGCTTCCTTTGTTCAGTCTGAGACTTCAGGTAGATTTAAATTTAGAAGAAAGCTTTCTGTAGTGGTTGCGGTGTAAACAAAATTGGAAGCCAGAGGTCTGATTTATATCTTAAATTCATTATCTGATTCAGCAAAGCAGTAGCTCTGGTTGAAGCCAGGAAGTACTGACCCTCCCACCCTGTCTCATGAAGGAAAATGTTGTGTGAAATTCAATTTGTAGTGAAAATTAATTATCTTGCAATGAAAATTATTATGACTGATAGATGGCCCATGATGTATGATGAATCAATTTATAATTTCATGTGAAGTTTCCCTCCCCCCTTTGGTTGGGGGTCTTGAACTCAGGGCCTAGGTCTTGTCCCTGAGCCACTTTGTGCTCAAGGCTAGCACTCTACCACTTGGAGCCACAGCATGAATTCTGGTTTTTGAGTAGTTAATTGGAGCTAAGAGTCAGTCTCACAGGGACTTTTCTGCCCAGGCTGGCTTCGAACCAAGATCTCAGATCTCAGCCTACTGAGTAGCTAGGATTACAGGCATGAGCCACCAGCACCTAGCTTTGTTCCAGCCCTTTTTTACTTTAGCATCTTGCTTTTTGGCCAGGGCCTGTCTTGGACTGAAGTCTTCCCTCAGGTACACCTCCCTAGCGGTCGGGATTATAGGTGCATTCCAGTATTCTAGTTTATTGGCTGAGATGGGGTTTCACACACATTCCCCCTCCCCCCCCCATGGCTTTGAATTGCAATTTTACTGATCTCTGCCTTCTGAGTAGTATCTGGAATTACAGGGGTGAGCTACTGTGCCTGGCTGAGCGAGATGACACTCCGCTGTAGTCTGATTAGAGGCGTGCTGAGCATGTAGAAGTTTGGCTGAGCTGAGCTCTGATGTCTGGTGCTCAGGCATATTCCGAGGCTTTCCAGTTGAGGAGATATTCAACTTCCATTGTGTTTGTTAGGAGAACCCTGTCCGTGTTAGCAACTATGGCTGTCAGATGCTGTCCCACAACCCCTGAAGAGGGGAATCTCAGTTAGAAACTCACATGATCTTTAAAAAATGGATGGGATAGCCAGGTGTTCCTGGCTCATGCCTGTAATCCTAGCTACTCAGGAGGCTGAGCTCTGAGGATCACGGCTCCAAGCCAACCCAGGCAAGAAAGTCTGTGAGACTCTTATCTCCAATAACCCACTCAAAAAACCGGAAGTGGCGATGTGTCTCAAGTGGTAGAGTGCTTGCCTTGAGCTGAAGAGCTCAGGGCTAGTGCCCAGAGTTCAAGCCCCACCACGGACAAAAAAAAAAAAAAGGGTGGGCTATCACTTTGAGAGTAGTGATATATTCCTGTAGTGCAGGTTTTGGATAAGGATGAATCACTTAGGAACACAAATATAGATGGAGAAGGAAAGATGAGACACCAAGGAACATCAAAAATAATGGCACCGTGTGACAAGGCAGGAAAAAAATCGCTGAGACGGGAAACAGGAAAATGATGAGTTACAAGGAATGGGTTTTGAGAAGGAAGTGGTGAGTGCCAGTGTGGAGGTGACGCCTGTAATCTCAACACTCAAGAGGCTGAGGGAAGAGGCTGTGGAGTTCCAGCTCCATGGGGGGGGGCACAAGGAAAGGGGCGTGGCTCCAGAGGTGGGGCCTCAATTCCAGCAGCAGGGGCGGGGCTTACATGGCAGAGCACCTGTTTGCAGCCTAAAGCCCCTGAGTTGAATGTCCAGTCCCAGCCAAGCATATATAAATAATAAAGGGAAATTTAAAAAAACAACAACAAAACAAAACAAGGAAGTAGCGGTCAGTGGTGCTTTGTACTGCTGAGAGTGATCTCTGGAGAGAACTGAGAATATTGGCAGTGCTTGGTATCATGAGGCATAGATGGTTTTACCAGCCTTCTTTTCAGTGGTGTGAATGGGAATGGGTTGTGTCGTGTCACAGAGCTAAGGCTTGGAAACTAGCAGCAAGCGGAGAGTGTGAGCTGGCGTGTAGAGGTGATTCTCCTCCTCCTTGTACTGTGATTCAAACTCCTAGCCTTCCAGAAAGCTAGCCAGGTGGTCTATCACTTGAGCCATACCTTCTTCCTGGTTTTGATGGTTAATTGGAGATGGGCCTAGCATTCCTAGGTGTGAGCCCCCGGCATGTGGCTAGACAGCTTCTTTAAAGCATTATTTTTGCCAGGTGTCAGTGGCTCACGCCTGTTATCCTGGCTACTCAGCAGGCTGAGATCTGAGGATCACAATTCAAAGCTAGCCCAGGCATAGCTGCATACCTGCAAGGTAGCTAGGATGACAGGCATTATCCACTGGCTCTTGGTTTACTAGGTCTCTTTATTTGACATATTGGGATAAGCGGCCAGGCCTGATATATAAAGGTTCTTGGAGTTTAGATCTGACACCTAAAAACCCAGATTTGGTCAGGCTGGGCTCAGTGGCTCACACCTATAATCCCAGCTACTGGGATGGTGGAGATCAGGAGAACCTTTTATCCTGGCTAGCTTGGGGGAAAGGTTAGTGAGTGAGACTCCATCTCAATGACTAAGCTGGGAATGGTGGTATGTACTGTCATCCCAGCTAAGTGGAAGGATTTCAGCCTGAGGCCATTCTGGGCATCCCCAAAAAGGGGCATGGGGGTGGGGGAAGGGATCACATTTGAAAAATAACTAAAGCAAAAAAGGACGTAGCTCAAGAGGTAGAGCCTGCCCGGCAAGCGCAAGGCCTTGAGTTCAAACCCTAGTATCACCAGCTGAAGGGAATAAATGCTACAAGTTCCCTGATTTGCTGGCTACAGCTTGCACCTGAGCAGACCTGCCCGGGGGAAGTCCTGAGGCCGAGGGTGAGGAGCAGCCTCTGCCCACCTGTGTGTTTTGGTTAAGATAGCTGCAGCATGCCTGGGCCTGTCTGGCAGGCGCCCCGGCCCTGCTAGGGCTT